TTTATCTGTCACAAAATACAATAATAATCTATGTTTGATTTGTATGTTCACTTTTTAGAGAAAATTATTATATTTTGTATGAAAAGTCAGAGAAAGTAACACTTTTTTAAGAACCTAAACCACAGTAGGCCTAAAACTTTGCTAATGTGGTGACATTTTCCTGTGAGTTTCCTTAAATAAAATTTATTTATCTTTATCTACTGCACTGCAGTTTTCTATATGCATGTAATCTTCATGCTTAGTTAGATTTTAAAGGTTCTCTTCAAAATTTATAATTAAAAAAAATATACCACTCTTTTTATTCAGCATTTCATAGTTGTTTGTTTCTCTATTTACAGGAGAAAAAACTAAGAAATCTTTATATACATAAGTTAGTGTAGTAGTTTGTGATAGATGTAAAGTATTAAGTTGAAGAAGTTAAGTAAATTAAAAACTGAAAATGTGAACAGTATTGAAAATGCTTTCAAAAAGCATTCCTTATATAAATTAAAAATTCTAGCCAAATTAGCTTGTTATATATAGGGATCTGAAAGAGCGTCCAAATTTAGTTGACCACAAACCTCAAAACATGAACTTTTATAAAAGAATATTTCGAGTAGTGAACTAGGAGCAAATGGAACTTAATCATATCTTGAAGGTGAAAAATAAATTGATTTTATAAGAACAACAATAAATTAGTCTTGAAGCAAAACTGAGTACAATGACATTTAAAGTGAAGGTAGAGAAATTGTAAGAGTTTTCAAGAACCTACAAGGGGGTTTCGGGTGTGCACTGTCATACCAGGTTTACAATGCCATAGGAAGGTTAGACTGAGGCTAGATTTTAGTGGATTCTTATAAAATCTATCCTTTAAATCGTGCATGTTTTCCACAATATTTATGTAGTCGTGTATAGTTTTAAAAACAAAACGTTGATTTTATAATCAAAGAGAACATTACGACTGTTGGAAGTCTGTCATGCTTCGAAGGGTGGAGCTTACTTGTGACGTATTCTTGCCACATCTATATCTGGATCAATGTTGACTAGTGTAGTTGTAGACTGTGTGTGTGTGTGTGTGGATGAAGGTTTAAAAAATGCCACAGTGCAGAGCAAAATATTGCACAGTAAGACGTGGAGAAGGAAAACATACTTTTGCCATTCCAGACCCCCAAAAAACTACAAGTTATGTGCTGCTTGGATACATAATCTTGGTATGAAAAATGTGGATGTAGATATGTATACCTACAAATCAGCAAGTATTGTTTGCGAGGACCATTTTATAGAGGACTGCCTTGTTGAGAATGTACGGGTAAGAATACTGTTTTATTTTGTGTGTCATTAACATATAATCTAGTAGTAATAAAATGTTTTTGTACAAAACTTCAACTAAAAATCACCAGTCAGCGTATAAGGAACACATCGATCTAACTAATTGCAAAAACAAAAACATTATTCTAATTTGTATTAATAAACATAGTTTAAGTTGTTTCACAAGAATAATAGAAAATATAATACTTTGAAATATTCTTGTTGGTTGGTTGCATATTTCAAGACCAATAGTTGGTAAAAAGGGTCCAGTGTATAAAAAAATACATTAATTATGTTAATTTAATTTTGCATATATTTTTATGCAACTTGAAAATTTAAGTATCCATTTCATTTATGTTTTCAGCCTAATATTACATTCAGTATGTGAAACAGTATTTTTTAAATGAAATTTTAATTATTTTAATAAGCTGTAAGTAGTAGTCACTTAGATGTAGACCTGATCATTACTTGATTAGATGTTTACCAAAGAGTTCCCAGATGGAAACAGTTCACTTTTGTTTACATTTTCCCTTGTGTTAACTTGTTAATGTGATTTTCAAATATACACATACACACATTTTATGATATTATTTTAAGATCAAATGAGACCTTGCAAAATGGAATTAGTAGTGGGATTTACTATTGGTAGGAATGAGTATGTTCTAATTGGATAAAGGCATGACTCAGTTGTTTCACTAGCTTATAGGAACACTAAGAGCTTCATAATTGGGTAAACTATTTGTCGATCTTTCAAGCGCTCACAGAACATCATAATAAGTTAATATATATATAATTAATTAAATTCAACTAACCAATTCTTCTTATTTGAGACTTGGATAGTTGGAATAATCAAAAATGTGAATAACTGGAAACTAATCTTGATCAGAATATTTTTGTGAGCTATGAAACTAATTGATTAACCTCAGCATACAGAAGGGTCAAAGTGCATATATATATGTATATTTTTGTAGTTAGTTTCAAAATTTCATTAAGTTACTTTATTATCAATGTATATCAATAAGCATAATATCAAAACATGGTTTCTAATTCAAATTTTATATTATCTAAGTTTTAATTTCTTAATTTGAAGAGGAAATGTTTAAATTAATTCTCAGTTTACACCTCTGTTCTGTGACGAGTGAAAAATGTGCACACTGACTTCTGATTTATAGGTTTTTCTTATGTTTTGGAGTGTCTAATTAATTAGAAACACATACTATATAGCTATAGAAAAGCCAAGTTATAAAATATTAACCTTCTATAATCTTGCTTTAGTGAGATATCGCTATTTGTTCAATCCACATGACACCCCTCCTTTCACTGTTTCTAAATATGTGTCTATAAATATCTGACATTGCTATGAGACATGTTTATAACCAACAGAAAGAGCACATTTTTCTTAACAAGATTCTTATATGATAATTTCATTTTGATGGCTATAAATAAACAATTTAACTTAAGATTCATCATCTGCTATCATTGTGATTCTGCTCTGAGCAGCTAACAAAATCTTTTAAACCTATTTATAGGTTAGTTAAAAAGCCAGTTAAATTATTGTTGTTTTGTAACCTTCTGTGCTAGTACCTGGTGGCTTTTTTTGCATTCTGAGATATATATATATATATATTTGAAACCAACATGAATTATTTTGTGGACGACCAACATAGTGTAGAAAAAAGTAGTGTTATCAAAACACATTCCCAAGTATAAGTATGCCTCAGTGCTCATGTAAGTCCTAAAATTCTTTTTTTTTGCATATATATATATATATATATATATTTATTTTTTCATTTGTTATATATTTTGTAACAAAAAATATTTAAATGAAAACAATTAGAAAATGTTTTGTGTCCATTTGCTTGGTGAAATCATGCTGTTTGAGGCTGCATGATGTAGCTACATCCATTTGTTTAACTTA